ATGCCTGGGGTAGAGCAGCTGGGGTGCTGCCGGGTTGGTCCTGGGGGGACCTACCCGGCAGCGCCCCAGCTGTTCTGTCCAAGGCTCCAGATTCAGCCGCTGTTGAAACTGATCAGCGGCTGATTCCAGGAAGCCGGGGGCAGAGCAACTCTGCCTAGGGCTTCCTGTAGTCAGCCCCTGGTCAGTTTCAGCAGCAGCGGCTGAATCTGGAGCCAGTTCCGAGTTACGTACAAATTCAACTTAAGAACAAACCTATAGTCTCTATCTTGTACATAACCCAGGAACTGCCTGTACACAGCAGAAAGAGAATCTTGTACTGAGATCTCTTACAGGTCATGAATTGCAGTCTGACTTTTTTGATGATCATTGTGGCAGTGGTAGAGGATGAACCACTCAACATACATGCATGTGCTGAAGTACAGTTTGCACCTGCCTAAACCTGGACTCTCTGGTCCAGCGACATTCATGGTCTGGCAGAACCATGGATGTTCCTAGACCAGAGTGTCCCAGGACCAGGAGTCCAGTGATAGGAGGGCGGCTGGGAGCCCTGTCGGGGCCAGAAGCCAAGCAGAGCTGGCAGCAGCAGGGCCAGCAGCTGGTAGCCCAGCCGTGTTGGGTCAGAGGCAAAGGTGCCAGCTGGAGCCAGAAGAGGAGTGAACAGTGATCTGGGAGGACGATCATAGGGAACCTCCCCTGGTCCGGCAAATTCCCTCGGGTGCCAGACCAGCGAGGTTCAACCCACACCACAGGAAATATTTTTATCCGGTTACAAGGTAAGTGATGTTGAACGAGATAACACTTGCATGTAACTAGAACAGAGCCAAAACATATTAATGAGCTATAAAAGCATACTGCCCTCCTGCTGTACTCTGACACCAATACAGCCAATAATTCTATACCTTATAAGACTCTTCAATCTTCCTTCTTCTCCACTTCTTTTTTAAGCTTCGCCTCACGTTCTTTTTTCATTTTTGCTTCAATTTTTTTACTCTGATAAATTTTTACTCCAGCAAATGCTAAGCACAGAATTAAAGTTTTAGCTGCCAAAATGTACATCAGCAGTGGAAAATTCTCCAAAACCTGAAATACAAAACAATACATTTCAACAGAGTTTCTTCAATACTCAAGCCACTGTGACATTTAAAACACATCGATGGCATACTATGCAACTTCCCGATGAAAGTGGTATTATTCAAGACTTTGTTCATCCTATGGCAATGTAGCACGTCATTCTTCCCATGGAAAATTTCAGGCCATGTGTATCAGAGTTCAGATGCTGACTGCAAAATACTTTCCCTCAATTCATCTGAATTTGTAAATGAATTTGCTTTGACGAGATACACACCTCTTTTCTCTCTGCTTGCCAATGAATTAGTTTATTAGCACAACTGTTAAAGCTAAGGGGATGTTGCAGGAGATCTGCAGAAAGCAAACTTTCAGTGGTAACTGTGAGGATCCACCTGATTCCCCCACACTCATCTCAGACATAAAGCATGATCAAAGTTGCTTTCCTGGGCTGCGCAGAAAATTTTTGGCCTTCCTAGAAGTTTATGTATTCCATGAGTTTTGACACTGACTTCAATGGCGTTAGGATACCGCCCAAGTTTCTGAAGAACCATTAGCTGAAAAAGGGGATTATGATGAATGATAACTCTAGAACCCTTAAATATGAAATCTCCTCCTGGCACTCACTGCTTGAATTACCCAACAGCCCAAATAATGCTCCTCTTACATGGAGCCTGCTGTCCAAACGGATGACCATTTCACCTGGACCTGACATCAGGTAGCTACAGAGCAATGCCAAAGATGAGCTCCTCAGGCAATGGTAATAATGGCTCCTGAGGAAGATCTTTATGTACTTGGTAGCTGGGACTGCAGCATGGAAGGAAAAACAGGAATTGCACAAGGTATCTATGTATGAGACCAAAGGAGCCAGGGTTAAGTCAAGAATTGTAGCTCAGGAGCTGCAGGCGAATGCTTGACACATCACAGACACCATCCTCCTCTGAAATAAAGGCACTGTCTTGGAGGGTGACTAAACCCTACCAGTACTGGGGGGTTGGGAGGGCTGTCACTGGCTCTTTCCTTGTTCACTCAAACCATGATAGTGAAGGCACACAGAAGTGGCTGCCATGCTCTGCGTAACTTGGAGCTGTAAAGGTGATCTGTTGAGACAGTGATCCAGACTTGGGGATGTGTGTGCGCCTTTCTCTCAAAGGGGGGAATGACTATGGTTTTTGTGAATACCTGTGCAGATGTCAAAGTCCAAAAAGGGAGTATTGAAAAAAACATCTACTTCATTCAGGGCCTAAAAATACACCACGCGACCAGGTACAGAGATCAGGTAACCAGGCCTGGCCTTTGGGCAAGGCAAGCGAGACGGTCGCGTTGGGCCCCCCACACTCAGGTCCACGTGACTGCGTAAATTCAGGGCCCTGCACAGTGCAGCTCCTGGCCCCGCCCACCCGGCCGGAAGCCGCGTGGCTCAGCATGCTGCCTTGTGCCCTGCACACTCCTTGGCTGGACCTGCAGGTAACCTTGAGTTTATTCCATCTCTGGCCCAAACAGTGATCCAGGGAGGGGCCATAAAAGCAGCTGATCCAGAAACAGGAAGTAGTAGGTTCCCTGGGATAAGGCTGTTTTTGTTGCCTTGCAGATGGGTAATAAATGCTGATCTGTGGAATACCCTTTTTTCAGTCTGATTTCTTTGGTTATCTGCTTTTCTGTGAGTAAAATACAGAGCTCTCCATGGAAAAAAAAATCCATCTGGTTCATACTCTGTTTCTGAGTTGAGTTGAGCTGAGTTGCTTCCCCAGGTTGCTGTGACCTCTGTGTCCAACCAAAAGAGCGTAGGCATTTAATAAGGAATATTCACAATGTGCTACTTGTGAATAAGCTACAGGCCACACAGCAGTCACAACAACTATCTGGCCAATCATGCCGAGTAATGTGCAGGCAAAATGTGCACAAGAAATATTTGTTATTTATCGTAAACCAAGCTCTAGTCACCATCACAAATCAATGATGTGATAAATATCCACCGAAAATGGGTGCTGCTGAAATGGTACTGAACTGCATTTCGAGTGCAAACAAAGGAAAACTATGTTCTGCCCCATTTTAGTAAAACTAACCATGTTCTCAGTAAATGGGTTGTTTTTCCAAGAGTGGGCTGCCTTTACACATATCTCTAGGTATACTAGCAGCACCAATACTCTCACATGCCCCAAATGCCACCACAGGTGATGGTGATTTCTTACCTCCCACGTAGGGTTGCCAGATGGTTTAACTAAAAATACCGAACACCACTGCCCCCCTCTTCCCCCCCCCCCCCCCCCACAAAAAATGAGGGGAAAAAAAGGGCGGGGGGGCAAAGTTGTTGAGAAAAAAAAGGACCCCAAGAGTTATTAAGCAAAAAAAAAATAATAATAATAAAAAAAATGCATGGCCCCTTTAAGAAGAGCCTTTGAAGCTTTTTTCTGGTGGCTATCTTGTTTTCCTGATCGAACCAGGTAAGTGGGGGGAGGGAGGGTCTGGGGGTTGGGCCCGGTTGCTGAATGTGTGTAGAGTTGCCAGGTGTCCGGTATTTTCGCCTCCTGGCAGGGAAAAAAATCAGAAAATACTGGACATTTTAGGTGTCTGGTATTTTCTGAATTTTTTACCGGACAGGAGGTGAAAATACCGGATTGTCCAGGTCAATACTGGCCACCCGGCCACCCTACCACGCAAACAGGACCAAACTATTAATAACCTGCCTATGGCTTTAATTATAATCTGCCACTACTCAAGAAACACATTGTGTCTGCTGTGCTGCTGCTAAGTGGTACACCTGTGCCAGGCATACAGGGCAGCAACATGGGGTTGAGTGGTATAGACAACACAGCTACAGTACAGCTATGAAAAGGGGACTGGACAGAATGGAAGAGAAGCAGAGCCAAACGCCACGTACACCGTGTGTATGAAGAAGCAAAACAGGGTCTGCCTATAGCATTCTGAAAGGGCCCACAGCAAAATCCTCACTCATATATGCCTACAGCAAAGTAAACTGGCAAGGCACTGAACATATGTGGTAGGAAATATGTTAAGCCTCCAGACTCCATGGGGAGTGAGCTGTGGTTAAATTCCCTCAAGCCTGAAAATGGCATTTATTCCAAACATAGACATGCACTCTGACACAACCCCCTTCCGCCCCCAGCTTAACATACTCCTCTTTAACAACCTCCCCCCCCACACCCACCACTACCTTTAATAACAAAAGTCTCCTCACCCTCCAATTAAATGCCACCATCTTGGATCTCTGACGGTGTCACAGGTCACACCACAGTCTAAGCCCAGCAATGTTTGTCAGATTCATAAAAACCTTGTGGAGGCGCAGTCATCTGGGGAAATAAAAATAAATAAAGTGAGCCAGCCTGCTTGCATCTGACACGTCCTCGCTGCGCGTGTCTGACAGGCTGAGGAGACGCCGAGCTCACCGCTACGTTACTCTCAGAATAGTCAGGAACCACCTCGCCAGGAGCGGATTATTTTGTAGCTAGATGAGTGACAGACCCAACACCCCGTGGGTGCCTTACACGGAGCGGAAGGTTGACAGGCCTGGCTGGAACAGGTGTCATGTGTTTGTATGGAGGAGGCCCAGCCCCTTCCAGACCCAGCAAATCCCTGCAGCTGTTCAACTAAAAATGCAGTGCTGGCTGCTTTAATAAGCATGACGTGAAGACAGATGACATATCCCCATGAGATGTCAGAGATCTAGTAGAGGAAAACACTCCCACCAAAACCAAAGCTGTGTTTTTTAATCCCCGCAGCCTTGTTCACAGCTTGAATCACCAATGCTACAGTTGCTCTTGTCTTTAGTATCTGTCACCTAGAGGAAGTGAAAATATGCTTCTGGACTTTTTGAAAAAAAACTATCCCTAAGTCCTCCTATGGCAGGGACACAATAAAGCAGCTGAAAGTCAAACCCATTATCAATGAACCCTGGGGAGCCTGCTGTTCAGCTCAGAAATGCCTGAGAAGCCTCAAGTGGCCATAAGGCAGCTGCATGTGGATGAGATTCTGCATTTTGGTTTTCTCCTCTGCTTAACCAGTGGTTTCAGAACTTCAGACACATGGGTTCCACTTTAAATAGGTTTCCCTGTGCATGCTCTACCTGTCTATGAGCTGTCTCCCCGTGTGTGCCCCACGTTTGTATAACAACAGACTCACTATGTGATCCGTAGGAGGGGAACTCCATCTTAGCCACTTGCAGAGCCATACAAATAATAACAATACACCCACCACAGCTGCCTTTCTGGTCCTCCTCTGATTAAGATTCAGGAACCAGGTGAGTGGTCTAAAGGCTCTTACCCTTCTTAACTACCTCACCATGGGCACAGTGAGCAGTGTGCTCACAAGACAGACCTCAGACTGCTTGCAACGCAGCTCAAGCTTTTGGAGAAAATGTGTGTGTTTGCTATTTCTTTCATTCATTTTGTTCAGGAAACACCGTTTTAATTAGGCCCAATATCCAAGAAGCACAGCTCGTACAAAGTGGCACAAAAGCATAACCTCACTCTTCCCATAAGGAAGTGTTTGGAATGGTGAAATGGGTTACTGAATCCATGAAGAAAATGAACTCTTGAACTTGGCCCCTCCTGCGTGCAAGGGCTTTCAGTAATCGAGAAGTACCCATTCCTTGGGCCCTGAGTGGACTAGCCCATCTCTGATTATCTATAAGGGAGTTGACCATGATTTGTGGCATTCTCTTCATAATGCCAGTGCATTATAGCAGGTGTGAGCTAACTAGTACAGTAGCTACTGGTTTACTTCCTGCAAAAAAAAAAAAAAACCCCAAAACAATATTAAGCAAATATTTACTTCAAAATTTTAATGACCATGAGATTTATCAGCCCTTGAGATCTTTAATCTTTGGGATTGTTAGTTCTGATGCTCACCTGAAACCAGTTGTGGGAGCATAATGCCCAATATTTGGTTTGAATTCAAACCTGCGTGAATCAGTTTTTAGGATTTGGGACCCTACATGGAGATATTCAAGCCTGAAAGTGTTGGCCGGAATCCTTTTAATCACACATACTCCATCATGACCATGAATTGCATTAAGGATAACCGCTCACTCTCTTTCTTTTGCTGTCTTTACATATACCCACGCTTCTGTAAGCTCCACTCCAATTCATCTGATGAAGTGGGTTTTACCTATGAAAGCTTATGCCCAAATAAATCTGTTAGTTTCTAAGGTGCCACAGGACTGGTTGTTGTTTTTGCAGATACAGACTAACACAGCGACACCTCTGAGACAGCTCAGTTTGAGAATGTCCTTTAAAAATACTCTGAAGAGTGGATGAGTTTAGAGGTTCAAAACTCAGAGTCAATCAGGAATCAAAGATCTGGTTATGTCTGGCCATTGAGGGAATTATTATTTCTTTTGGTGTTTTGACAGAGCAGGACATTGAATGTAAGAGGTTGGTGAATTATCAAATGATGCCACATAATGATTTTTGTAATGCTTTAAAAGTCTATAGAGATCTAGGCCTGATTCTCCATAAATTGATGTAAATTAGAAGTTAATTCAAAGGAAGTCAGAAATAGGGTAAGTGGAAATGAAATCTGGCCCATTTCTGTGTACTGTGGGATTTTTATTAAGAATCAGGAGATTCTGCCATCTCTCCTACTTACAGTATCAGCTTTACTCACTGTTGTGAACTGGCCATCTTAGTCAGTGTTGCATACCCACTCTCTGATGTCCCCAACATCCAATGCCCTCCTGCCTTAATACTGCTTTGCAGCTCATGGGTTCCCCTGCTTCCCCATCTTGACCCAGGCCTGCTAAATATTGGCAGAAGAAGCCAGGATGTGTATCTATGAACAGCGGAACTGACTGCATTGTACTTTCAAGGTTATGATATCTTAAAGAAAGGCAGGCAAGTAAACAGCTGAAGTTTCGTGTTTGCTTTTCCAAAGGCTGATAAGGCAAAGCTAGGAGTTTATAAAAACATCCACACACAGCTGTTACGTGTTCCCCTGAAAATGTATATTGTCTTAATAAGTACAACAGCACTGGAAAGGAGGCTTGGCTCAGTGCAAAGGAGGTCACCTTCACTTGCGGTCAGGACTTTGGAGGAGATCTTGTGGCTACATCATGTGAGCGATGGGGGCTTGAGCTCTAGTATGAGCATTGTCATGGACTTCCAGGGCTCAGTTCACCACGACTTGCATGTTGCATAGTCACTTACACACGTGCAAATGCATGTAAAATGACCACCACAATAGCACCTCACAATCTGTAATATGTTTATCCTCACTAAAGCTCTGCAAGGCAGAGCATGTATCCCCATTTTATGTATGAGGAAACCATGGCACAATGAGAGCACAGGGAACCAAACCCAGTGCTCTCAAGACTTAGGCTGCTGTTTTAACCACTGGACCATCCTTCCTCTCTGCCTCAGCTTCCAAACCATAACCCACCACTCACGCAGTCTTGCATCACCTGTTCACAGCTGCAAATGACGACACAGGGTGCAAGGCAGTGGGAAATGAGGCCTCTTATGTGACGTTGGCTGGGAAACTCCTGTGGCCTGCTGAGAACTTTATTGACTCAGCAGTGAAATGGGACTAATAATACTGTTCTAACTAACACGGGTACTGCGGAGCTTCATTAACATGAAGTGCTATGAGAAGAAATGCAGCATAAAAGGGCAAAACAGAATTTACTGGATTGCATCTACAGTAAGGTGATGGCAAACTATAACCTGTGCTAAAAGAATGTGTATCCTCCTTCCATTTGCCCAGAAACCACTTCTTTGGACCATCTCTCCCCATCTTGGTCATCTCACTAGCTTCCTCAACCTCATATATTTAAAGAAACCACAGATATGTTTTACAGAATACAATTAGGCAGAGAAACAACTTGACCTCGGATGCTGTGTGTCAGACTGGGAATGAGATCCCCCCAGTGGCTGTCAATGCCAGCCAAAAACCCGGTGCGTGACATGGCAGCAGGAGGGGATCTGAACCCAGACTGCTATTCCCACAATTCTCCAAAACCCACCAGCACATATGATACAGGGTGCTATGATAATACTGGTCCAGCTTGGTCCAGATGCATTTATAGCTCAAACACAGTGGCCCAGATTCTACTCTAGGCTGCGCTGGTGTAAGTCATAAGTTGCTCCATTGAGACTAGTGGAGTTACTCTGGATTCAGACCAATGTAATGAAGAGCAGTCTCTTAAATGACTAACAAAAATTACCTCTCCCCAGAGACATTTGTCCCTGGAGTTGTGCAGAGCAGAATTATTACCAGCGCCTCAGACAGAACTTCACATGTATGCCGCATCCTGGAAATCAAGCATGAAGCAAAGGGAAATTTAAAAGGACAGTGTACCGATTTTAAATCTCATTATAAATGCTTGCAGCACCTCAGATTGCTAAATCTGAGGTCCCAGTACATCGCATTAGAAACATGCCCCAATGCTTTTAGATCAGACGGCTTTCTGCAATGCCACCTCCTCCGCTGCACTTGCTACCAGCCAACCACCCATCACCTGCTGCCGTATGCCTTCCTCTTAACACACAGAACGTCCATTGCTTCCCACTTGCCTTGCAGCCCTCAGCACACTGCCCAGCTTTCCTGTTGCCAATTACCAGCTTCCCACCACTTCCCACACTTTATCCCCTGCCTACACACTGCTTCATTGTGCTGCCTTCCCCTGCTATTGCAACTTTGGCACTGCTCCCTCTGCTTTCCCCCAAACTCTTCACACACACACCTCAAGGGAAGTCCTCTCCCATCTGTCACCTACCTTGCATCTGAATTGCACACACAGTTCAGGGAACTGAAGTAACTTTTTCAACACAGTAATTTTCACTCTCTTTCTGCCATTCATTTCTTTCCCTCCCTTGTGACAGAAAAAGTGAAATCTACTAGTCCGCATAGCTAGTTTCATTTTTAGGTTCTCTTACCCAAGAACTCAGCATCCATGCTTTGGGTTGCGATACTCAGAGGATGGTCACATGCAGCCAAGTGTGTTTTTGCTGAATTTTAAAATCATATTAAACAATGTTAATGAGCTGGAGAGGGAGGGAGTTCTTACAAAAGTCGAGGCTCAAAATGTCCAACAAATACAGAACGGAGAAATGGGCACAACCCAGAACAAGGCAAGGAGTCTATTTTTGAACTACCTTGCATATGTATGTAAGATGTTTCTATTTTGATCTCATAGCAATGTCAGCACAAGATACAAATCAACAGTGAATCAGAGGTCAGGCCCAGAAATGTAGCTTTCCCTAAAACTCACTTTGTTTAAGGTTTGCATTTTGTGGTGAAAGTCCACCTCTTACAAATACTCCTAGGTCGCAGATTCATTTAAAAAATAAGAGCTTCCCAAAGAGAACAGACTGATAACATACCTTGTAGCAGGCAGCCATTACACACAGAGGGGAAGTGGAAATAAACTACTAATCCCAGCGGTTTTGCAGCTGGCAAACTACAGCTCCCAGCATGCCACAGTCATAGCTTGCTGTTAACCCCTTCTTTTCCATTGTATCTCTATAAAACAAACGTGCACTAGACACAACTAGCAGTCATATCAGTTTGTTACATTTAACACTCTAGTATTATCAACAGTGATAATATAGAATTTGTCCTTTTAGAATGGCACCTGTAGAACTCATAAAGAGCTGGTCCTATGCCTGTAGATAGAACAGAAACCCATGGTTAAAAGTATCCACATCATCTCACATTCATATTTGCTATGCTCCATACATGTCTTGTGTGCTGGCTGACTTTAACCCCTATTTGCTATAATAGTTTGATCATTACCTGTACAGACACTCTTAACAAAGATTTGCGTTGGAACTAACCGGTAACTGGTAGTTCAAATCAAAGTTCTACACCCATCTCATCCTGTCCCTGAAAATTAAAAAAACCCAATCGGTTTAGCTCATGGGTGGGCAATAATTTTTTATGTGGGGGCCACTCTAAGATTTGGAAAAAGGTCAAGGACCTCACTTCTCTATGGAGGGAGTGCAGGGTCCAGGACCAAGGTTGGGTGCAGAAGGGAGCTCCGGGTAGGAGACTGGGGTGTAGGAGGGGGTGTGGGTCTGAGACAGAGTTTGGGTGAAGGAAGAGGTTGTGACCAGGGGCAGGGGATTGGGGTACAGCGTCCAGGAGGGGATGGGGTGCTGGAGAGAATTTTAACTTGGGGCAGGGGTTTAGGAGTGGGTGCTGGGTATGGGAGGGATTTGTGACCTGGGATAGGAGGGGTGCAGAGGGTTTGGATGGTGACCTGAGACAGGGGATTGGGGGGCAGGGTTGGAGAAGAGGTGTGGGTGCAGAAGAGGATTCTGGCCTCGGGGAGGGATGTAGAAGGGGATGCAGGATCTGGGAGGGAGTTGTGACCTAATGTGATGGGGAGTGCAAAAGGTTTGGGTGGTGACCTGGGGCAGGAGGGGCTGTGACCTGGAGCTGGGGAGTGGGAGGATTTAGGGTGCCAGAGGCAGGCTCTGGCTCGGAGGTGTTTACTTTAGGTGGCTCCCAGCCAGCAGCACAAGAGGGACCCCTGAGACAGCTCCCGCGACCTTTCTTCCTGAGCACCTCTTACTCATTAATAGATAATCCTTCCAAACACTCCTGCAAGGTAGGGGAAGTGCTATTCCCATTTTATACATGGAGGACAGTAGCACAGTTACACACAGCCCTTCTCCACCCCTGCTGCTGCTGCCTCTGTATCAGAAGCAGTAGCAGTGTGCGGGGAGGCAGGTGGGAGCCAGTGTGTGCAGGCGAATGCAGGATCCCACCTGTCCCCCACTACATACTGCTGCCTCTGATACAGAGGCAGCACCGTGGAGGGGGGGAGGGGTGCAGACTTCCACGGGAGTTCCTCTACCCCCATGAAAACATGCAACTCCTGAAATTTTCAGCAGTTACATGTTTACCTTAATAAACACTTTTTAACATCCCTACCTTATAGAAGCTGAAGGCTTGACCCAGATAGTGTATCTGTCCCTCCATGTTTGAAGAATTCATGCAGGGTCTTTGCAAGGCAGATAATCCCTGTAGTTTCAATGTCCTTGAGTTACACACACACACACAAAACAGTAATACTTTTTCAGGTGCATAGCAAATAGTGTTGGTTTGCCACAAAGACTTTGACATATTATGTCTCATTTAGATGTACATACTAGAAAACTTACCCCTCTTGCCTGGATCCTTCAGGGCAAAGGTCCGGGGGTGGGTGGTAAAGGAATCAGGGCAGGGCCGGGCCTTGTGGATTTGGGGGGGCAGGGCAGAAGGCTGTGGACATGAGGGGTATGTCTACACTGGCGGGTTGTTGCTCCAGAAGTATACAAATGAGGCTAAGTGTGGAATATCGCCGAGCCTCATTTGCATACCTAATGAGCCGCCATTTTGCGGAAGAGGCTCTTGAGCTAGAAGGAGCTATCTACACTGCCCCTTCTTGAGCAAGAAAAACCATCTTGCGCAATGCCGTTATTCCTGAAAATAATCAGTGTAGCGGCATTGCGCAAGAGGGCTTTTCTTGCACAAGAAGGGGCAGTGTAGACAGCTCCTTCTAGCACAAGAGCCTCTCCCGCAAAATGGCAGCTCATTAGGTATGCAAATGAGGCTTGGCGATATTCCACGCTTAGCTTCATTTGCATACTTCTGGCGCAACAGCCCGCTAGTGTAGACGTAGCCGGGGGTGCAGGATTCAGAGTGGGGGGTTGAAGAGGATCTCAAGGCAGAGGTTAGGGATGTGGGGGGTGCAAGAGAAAGGGTTAGGGCGCGAGGAGGGGTTCAGGGTGGGGGGAACCATTTGGTGGGGCCTTCTCTCACTCCTAGCCAACAGGGGCCTTTTCTCTCTTCAGCCACCTCCACCCTCCAGGCTGATAGGGGCATTTTCTCTCCCACAGACCCCCTCCAACTGTCCTGGCCATCAGGGCTGTTTTCTCTTCCTCCAACCTCCCTCCCCCCAACTGCCAGGGGCCTTCACAGCACTGTGGCCAAAGGCCAGGAGGGGGAAAGGGTGTTCTGACAAGCAAGATGGCAGAGCCCCAGTGGCCACCCTCATATCGCATCCCTCCCTTTGCATGTTATGGAGAAGAGTCTATTTCCTGAGGCTCCCAGTTGTCCTGGCATGACCAAACCCTGCCTTTGCTTAAGTTAGGAGAAAGGGAAGCTGCATACCAAGTTTGTTGTTCCTAGCTCTTACCATTTAGGAGGAGTTCTTGAACAAATGGACTTGCAGGCAGGCACACAAAGACAAACCTCCAAAATATATTTATTTTAAATTATTTTATTATATTATCAGAGTTTGGCTCAAGCTGCCCTGTTCGGATTGTGATCTAGATTTTGAATACCTTGAAGTTCACATGTCTTCATATCTGGGGATTTGGTTTGTCTATTATTTCAGTTTGGATATTCAATCAGCTCCACATCCAGATTTTAAATCTGCCCATAATATAAGGGTGATTTTTGTTAGGTCTCTCTACTCTCAAGGAGCAGAGAAAACTAAAATAGAGTATGAATCCTTCTCTTTCTCGGATGGCCAACTAAGTAGCCTCACCCAAAAATCTCTAGCTATTTACCCAACAATGATACGGCAATTCAGAATTTAGGTGAAAACTTTACATTACACGCACAGCTTTATGGTTTGTTCACAAGTGCTATCTCCAAGAAATCAAGGTGATCCAGGGGTTGTTTTATTCCTTGCACTGACGTTTTCATGGATCGTACACTTCAAGTCTTCTTGATTCAAAATCTGGCTCTTATATTTTTCACCCCAATCATCAACAATGTACTGGTGATATGGGTCATTAGAGTGCTCTCTCCTCTTTGATTTCACCGTACTCACTAGGATAGCCACGATGATGAAGGAGAACATTCCAATCATCACAAGGAGGTACAAGATAACATAATCAAAGTTTTCTTCATTGACTGTTGCTTGTAGAGCATCTTGTTCTGCTGTCATGTTCTGGCGCCACTTATTCATGTAGTTAAGAAATATGTTTTTGAAAACATCTTCCAATATCTGGGTGAAGTTTCGTAAATCGACCATATTTCCAGTGCACTGCCATTGGAAACAAATATATAAATATTTTTAGTTCTGTACTATAACAAATGAAGGGCCAATCCCCTCGACTGGTGCAAAACGTAGTGCCAGTTCAGACCAGCTGAGGATCTGGCCCCAAGTGTCTGCATTTTACCGTCTGTTTATGGGATCAAGTGGATCTTTACTAATTTTTTAGTGCAGTTCTGTTTCAGTCTATACTCAGGCAAATTGAAGAATTTTGCTCAAGTTAGGACTCAGTAAAAGAATGGCGAAATTCTGCATTGAAAAGCAGCCATTCAAATCAATGGGGCTGCACAAGGTTTATCAGCACAGACTTTTGCTCTCAATTTCTTGTTTCATCTAAATAAAGGAAGTCTGACATGCCCATATGCAACACATACAAATGCATTTGGAAGAGCATAGTACCCACCCAAATATGTCCCCGCCTGCCTCCCCCCCCCCCCCAAACAAATGAATGAGGGTGAGAAGGAAGGAATCCTGCTCTTCCATGCTGCTGCTGCAGAGCCATTACACAGAGACTTCTCTTGCCCCGTGTCTCTAGTATCCTCTGGGCCTTTGCACCCCTTTTGGGGGTGTTGGAAGAACAGAAAAATCGGGAAGCAGCAGATTCTCCAGTCCCACACTAGAATATTTTCCCCTTCCTGTTCCATTCCTGATGCTGGAACACTTAATTGAAAATACATCTCCCTTCACAGACCCATCCAAATTCTGTCCTCTTTACATAGTGGAACCACATCAGCAACACAGGGTCCTCTTCTGGCCAGGGATAGGATTTGCCCACAATTGTATATGTAATGTAATGCTACTGCAAAATATGCCATGTTACTGTGTTTCTATGTGTGCATTGTGGCTGTATCATGAATGCAGTGGAAACTTTAAATTGCCTTTGTCTAAAAGCTCAAGCAAAATCCAACCTATGTTTAATTCTTAGGCTTTTTTTCCCTTGTTTAAAATAACAGAAAGGATGTGATTGAATCATAACTTCACAGATATATAATACAAGAAGGATCTACTATAACAATCTACAAAAGCGACGAGGAGTCCTGTGGCACCTTATAGACTAACTGAAGTGTAGGAGCATAAGCTTTCGTGGGCAAAGACCCACTTAGTCAGATGCATATAACAATCTAAACTGACCTCCTGCATAATACAAGCCTTTGGATTTCAACCAGTAATTCCTTCAGTGGACATTATTTTTCGCTATTGCATGCATAAAAACTATCAAGTCTAAACCTGTGTTTGAGCTAGAATATGTTTTTAGAAATCCATCCAATCTTATGTAAAGACTTAAAGTGATACTGGATTTACCACATCCCCTGGTAAAGCAATGAGGAATTATCCTCTTTGCATCCTATTTCCAATCTGAACTCTTGTAACTTCATTTACCAGCAACTGGATCTTGTTTTGCCTTCAGCTGTTTAATTAAATGGCCTCCTACTACCACATAACCTTCTCCTTGAATGTGTGTGTATTTGTGTGTGAAACCACATATTCACACAACTGTGTAAGATTAAGATGATCTCATTTTCTGTGAAAATAACTAAAATTTTAAAATGCACATTCAAATTATCATAACAAGTCCATTTTGTTTATTATTTATGCTTTTCTGGGAAAAAGATTTAAAAGAAAAGATATTATTCTTTTTCTACTAAAAATGAAGAATTATTAACAGAAACTTACCTCTTCTGTGCCTTTGTGTAATGAAATTCACAGCAACAACAGAGATTAAAACTTCACTCTCTAATTTTACGACAATCTTAAACTTCACGAAACTGCCAGCTTACACTAAGCTATATACTTGCCAGTGAAATAACTGTATTGTTCTCAATGTTCTATGTTTATATTAATGAAATATTAAAATCTAATCTTACTGGAAAGTTAAATATTGGCTGACAACTAATGTAATCTTAGTGGCTAACAGTGTTCAGTAATCTTGGTGTCGGTAATTACTGTAATACCATAATGTTTAAAAGAACACCAAGAGGTTTTAAAGATTATTCACTGACATAACTTGTTCTGTATTGATCCATTATTCCACATTACAGGCAATACATTATAGGATGTATTTTTAAATGAAAAAATACCCTTGAATAACTTTAGTGTGATGTGCTAAATACTGCATAGAGACACAGTAAAGAACTTTTCTGCACAGCTGCTGTATTGTCACCCAAAGAGTACAATTTTTTATATTCCTTCCTTTCTTTCTCAAGTCACAACTATCAATGCTTTCCTTCCCCTGCTTTCTTCCTCCTTCTCCCTCCCCCAATCCTTCTAGCTCTTACTTTTCTCAAATATCATTCTTGGATATATTACCAAAAGTGTTGTAAGCAAAACGCTGGAAGTAATTCTTGCACTTTATTCTGCACTGATAAGAACTCAGCTGGAATATGGTGTTCAGTTCTGGGCACCGCATTTCAGGAAAGATGTGGGCAAATTGGAGAAACTCCAAAAGAAAGCAACAAAAATGATTAAAGGTCTAGAAAACATGACCTGTGAGAAAAGATTGAAAAAGTTTGAGTTTTTTAGTCTGTAGCAAAGCAGATTGAGAGGTTACACAATAACAGTTTTCAAGTACATAAAATATTGTTTCAAGGAGAAGACAGAAAAATTGTTCTCTTTAACCTCTGGTCATAGGACAAGAAGCAATGGGCTTAAATTTCAGCAAAGGTAGTTTAGGCTGGATATTAGGAAAAATCTCTTTACTGGCAGGGTGGATTAGTACTGAAATAACTTGGGGAGGTTGTAGAATCTCTATCTTCGGAGATTTTAAGAGCAAGTTAGATAAACAAATGTCAGGGATTATTTAGATCAGTGGTTTACAAACTCTGTGCCAGGACCCCAAAGTGGGTCACAACAGCCCCATTTTAATAGTGTTTCTATGGCTGGTGTTAGATTTGTTGGGCCCTGGGGCCAAAACCATAGCCCAAGCTTCACTGCTGGGGCTGAAGCCAAAACCCAGTGGGTAGCAGGTCTTTGGTTACAGGTCCCCTGCCTATTAGCTTTGATTCCCCCACAACCAGGGTGGTAGGACTTAGGTGTGTCCAGCCTTTTTCTAAATTGCCCTCCCATGCTGGGTGGCATACTAATTTTTATTGTCAGAAAGGGGTCATGGTGCAATACAGTTTGAGAACCCCTGGTTTAGACAATACTTAGTCCTGGTTTGAATGCAGGAGACTAGACTAGAAGACCTCTCAAGATCCTGTCAAGTCCTACAATTCTGTGATTCCTTCTTTGAGTTGTTTCTCAATCTCCTCTGCCTAAGCCTTACATCCTGCCTCCTTTAGGAGCTCACACTTCAGGGAATGGGTTCCTCAAGTATGAAGCTCTTCTGGCCAGGTACAGTCTTCTTACAAAAGCGACAAGGAGTCCTGTAGCACCTTATAGACTAACGGATGTATTGGAGCATAAGCTTTCATGGGCAAAGACCCACTTCATCAGATGCATCTGACGAAGTGGGTCTTTGCCCACGAAAGTTTATGCTTCTATACATCTGATAGTCTATAAGGTGCTACAGGACTCCTTGTCGCTATTGCAGATCCAGACTAACACAGCTACCCCTCTGATACTAGTCTTCTTACAGTGCATCTCCTCCCAGAGCCACAGTACCCTTCTGACATGCTTTGCCCATGGCAGCTCCTACCTGACCACAGTCTACAGTCACCCTCAATTTAACTTAATTTTCTTTTCTTTTTTTCAAGTTCAGAAACCGTCACCTCTCCACTTCCTATTCTGAGTATCTACCAGAGAGCTCCACCAAAAATCCTCTATCCTGCCATACATTTCTTCTTTGCAATACTCCAATGTAAGGACAATGAAAGATGTCAGTTTGATGTCAGATCTTAATGGTGATGTCCTCATTTTTCATGTGGTATGGAACAGGCAGAAGCTGGGCAAGCCTCTCCATGCAGGTCTTTCAGTATGTCTCGACTCTGGCCCAAGCTATATTTTGTGCAAATGCCTAGTAAGAGACAGTCCCTCCCTAAAAGAATATTGCCATTTTCCACATAGTTCTGCTCCTAAGTAATCCCCAGAGAAAATAGGTTTTCCAACACACCAATCTATGTGGAGCTAGACAAAAGCACAAGTAGTCTGGCATCATACAATCAGCTCAGTCAGAGCATACAAATGAATGCTGTGGGTATTAAAACAATTACGGGCAAAGCTCTACTGAATTTAATGGCAGGCTATTGCCATTGCCTCTGCTAGATGATTCTCCTTGCATGCATATGTTCTAGTGCTTATGGGCTCTGGGCAGCCTTTAATGCTACTGTTTCCATTTTGCTGCTTCCCGTAGGCACTCTGTATGGGCTCACAAGCAGTGAAAGTAGGTAGAAAGCAAAAGGATTCTCTGCTCAGATGAGATTCCTGGCCCAAAGGGACAACTACAGTCATCTCATCTGACCTCCTGGATAACTTATGTTGTAGATTTTCACCCTGGGACCAGGGCTCAATTAGGGCCAATGAGGGCCATAGGCACACCATGACAGAGGGGTCCCTGTGGCTCTGCCCCTGATACACAGGGGCCCAAATGGAGTAGCAGTGACAAGGCACTTTTTGAGAGAGGCAAGAACAGCAGCCTAGTCCCTCTTCTTCTACACAAGAATGTCAGCAAGGGACTCTCTGTCCCCTGGGCAGCGGGTATGCCTTCCCAAACCACCAGCCTGGCCCCGCCCACACAGTAGGTGTACTGGGGTGGAGTGTTGCTGTCCCCAGTGCCTGCCCTCTTTGTGTTCTGGGCCGGGGACACTCCCTCCTCCTTCCCCATAGTGCTGGGGGGCGGGGCCTGGGCAAAAGGGGCAAGGGCTGGTGGCAGGGCTGGGGGCTTACCTCCCCCATCCCTGCTGTCACCCACCACCTATACTCCTTCTTTTTGGTGCAGCAGGGGACAGCAGCAGGGGTCTCTTCTCCCCAGTAGATGGGCAGGTATGGCAATAAGTGAGTCCCTCTATTAACCCCTGCAGCCAAGGTGTAGCTAAGGGGGTGGCTTGTATGAAGACACTTGAGTGTGCTGGGTCTTGCAATTCCCAGCCCAACAAGATGCATGGGGAAGTTCACCCTTCTTAGATTGATTGGTTTAGGCTGTTGGCCTCCTATTGACCAGTTCTGTCTCCTCAGAATGGAAAATGAGATAGCTCTGCTGGAAACATTGTCCAAACATTCTCTTGTGCACCCAGCCACCGAGCTTGCTGAGTTCCCAATTCAAAACACACCCACGGGCACATCCTCAGCACAATAATAACCCACTCAGTGGTATAAACTGAGCTTGCCAAATGGAACAACAGGGGAGATAGAACAGATCCTCTAGGCAGGCACACACCGTATGTCACATGCCTCGCTGGGGATGTAGAAACCCTGACTAGCTTCTATCTTCTGGGAGTAATTGAAGGGCAGTCCCAGACACCATGGAACAGTGATGCCAGAGCAACAACCCATAGTCATTCCGAGCAAAAGCTGCTGAGAATCCTGGTTTTCATGTAAACAGAGCACGTCTTTCTCTCCATAGGTCTTGCTCTTTTTTTTTCTTTTGCCAGAAAAGTAGCTCTGAGCTTTACCCTAAACTAAGCTTCTCAATTTTTGTTTTTACAAAATCTTTAAATCATTTTGGGGGAGGGGGATGTTGCATTAGCAGCTTTTGTCCAAGAACGCTCATTTAATGAAAGGCTTTATCGGTTTAATCACCATGCTGAGAAATGTTCAGTCCCAGAGGGTGGGGGAAGCCTGCACGTATGTAAAACTTTTCTGTACATTCTTTTTAAAAATGAAATAACCTTGCTGTTCTGCATTCTCCCTCGACTCGCAAGCAAGTTTAAACACGCAAGCAAAGAGACAAATAATTTGCCTTGTCAGCATCTAGGGCTCTATCCTGCAAGGTGCTGAATGACGCCAATCCACACAGAAGTCAGCCAGGGCTGAGACTGACAAGCAAGCACATAAGAATTACAGAGCTTGTAGGAGCAGGTCTCTGTTGCCTCCCAGGTCAGACATTACAACTTGAGGGCAGGCAAGAGCCTAGAGCCCCCAAGACATTTAGGCACCACCTGAGCCCTGTTTTGAGAACTAAGTTGGCTTTAAGTGGTATTCAGGCTTGCAGGGCGGGGGGAGCTTCACTTTCCAAAATACAGGAATAGCAGTTCTCCCTAGCTCATTTCTCATCTGTGCTGGGGAAGTCACAAGGCTCCTCACAACCTCCCTTCTCATCTTACTGCCCATCCACACAAGGGCCAGGCAGAATCTGGCCTCTAGCTGCTAAGAGCCGAACTCATACTTCACCTACAAATCAGAAATAGCCAGAAGCCAGGTTGTGTTCTGTGTCAGAGGGGTAACTCTCATGGGGTATGTCTATACTCCAAAGTTAATTCGAACTACCAGCCATTAGTTCGAATTAACTTTCATAGGCGCTACACAGGCAAACCGCTAGTTCAAACTTAATCCGAACTAGCGGAGTGCTTAATTCGAACTAGCGGAGTGCTTAATTCGAACTAGCGGAGTGCTTAATTCGAACTAGCGGAGTGCTTAATTCGAACTAGCGGAGTGCTTAATTCGAACTAGCGGAGTGCTTAATTCGAACTAGTGGGAGGCTAGCCCTTCCCAGCTTGCCCTGGTGGCCACTCTGGGCACAACCAGGGAACCTCGTCTGCCCCTCTCCCGGCCCCGGAGCCCTTAAAGGGGCAAGGTCTGGCTACGGTGCCCGGGCCAGGTGCAAGCCTGCCAGCACCCAGCCAGCACCTGCTGCCACCCAGCCCTCCACTTCTTCCTGGGACCAGGTGGCAGCTCCCAGGAGCCCGCCCGGGGCCGCAAGAGGCGGGCACCCGCCTGGTCTAGTGCGGCGATCGTGGACCTCATCCAGGGTTGGGGGGAGGCCTCCAACGTCCACGACCTCTGCACTAGGCATGGGAAAGTGGCCGTCTGGGGCAGGCTAGCTGCCAGCCTGGCCACCAAAGGCC